TTTTGTTTCAACAAAATTAACATTGTAATCATTTTGATATGATGAATAGCTGGAAGAACAAGGACGAAGAGAAGCAGATGCAGATAATAATAATAATAATAGTAATAATAATGATAATAATAATATTAATAATAATAATAATATTGATAATATTATAATAATATTAATAATAATAATAATAATAATAAATAGCATTTGTATAGTGTATATCCCCATTCAACAGCAAGCTCTATGCGCTTTACACTAGCAGACCATAGAACACTCAGAAACATACTCAGCTTCCCTGGAAGCATACAGTGCAAGCACCTGATTAAGCGCTCAAACACTAACAAACTGACAAGATAAAATATATAAGGCAGTGGTGTGGATTGTCGACAGACACCCGAAAAGACACAACTTAGATCATTTAGGAGGTGGCCGCTATGACCTGGTCTGTGAGGGAAAACTTTGGCTGATTGGGAGACAACGGAGATTTGTATTATGTTTTAGTAGAGGGTGTTACGGCACTCCCAACTGCATAAGGTCATATGAGCGCCAAGGGGTGGGTGTCAACAGAGAAGTCTTTACAGGGAATCAGACTTACTCTGCTCACCTCTCTAGCTTCAACAGCACAAAGTCTGCTTTGACAATCAAGGCACCCCGGAAATAGCAATTCACAAGAGAGTGACAAACATACAAAAGAAGTAGAGGAAAAAAAAACGATAGTAAGGATTAGGAAAGAAAAAGCAGCAGTTCCCTGTTGTGGATCAGGCACAGTTATGAGCGTGACATGATGAATCAGCCCATTTACAATTCTACTGGGCATGAACGAGAAATGTCCCCCCTTTGGGAATGGCCTAAAGACACTTCAGTCAGTGTCACCGCCCCAAAGGGGTATGACCTGGTCTGTCAGGGAAAACTTGGGCTGAATCAGAGTGGGAGACAACGGAGATTATTCCACCAAACAAAAATTATTCCAACAGACGTACAGTGCAGCCTCTCTATAACGACCTTTGACATCCTTTGTATAGCGACATGATGCCCAGGTGCCAATTTTTTTCCCCTTAAATATCACTATTAATTTTAGGTTGCCTCTTTATTAAAACGACAACCCTCTATTACGACATTTTTTTCTGGTCCCGACGATGTCGTTATAGAGAGGCTGCACTGCAGATTATTCCATCAGCGGACAGATAATTAATTTCTTTTTTTTTTAATACATTCCCAAACAGAAATTCCACTCAATTCCGTCTTCATGCAACAGTGAAGAGCATACATAACCACCATACCACAGATACAGGAGAGGGTGTTGTATAAAAAGAAAGCAGATAAAGTTTATATATAGTGCACCAGGCTTCGACAACACAGAAATAGCACCCTGCGCTATGCCAGAGCGCTCTTACAATCAATCACCTTGGGAATTTATATTAAAAAAGAAGGGCAGACTTGTGAGGCAGCATGGTGAAATCAGGCGCTCGTCAAAATACAGAAATCGGGGGAAAAACAGGCATTTTTCCATCAGTTTGAAAATGTTTATCTAACTTTATTTTTTGGCTCAACCTCCTTTATGTCCATATAAAAACACATTTCCATGTGAATTTTATTGAAAAGCATTGATTTAAGGCACAAAATATACCATTTTTCTGTTTTCAAGGACTCTTTAGCTACTGTATTGGAATTACCTAACTTTGGCGGCCATTTTCTCGCTAATTTCACCACTGAAACCAGACGACCTCATTTCCTTCAATCGCAAATATCTTAAGTTCTATTCAAGATAGATGGATATTTATTTCATTTAGAGCAAAGCAAATAAATCAGCTTTCAGATGATACCAATAACTCCACATGCCCAAAAATTGACGAGAGCCTGATTCCACCGCGTTGTGACACATTTTTTTTTAAAAAACAAAATACAGTCAAAGCTCATTGTATCGCCAACTTCATGCCCGTCCCAAGGTAGGAGGTATAACTGGGTTGACTGTAACAACCCATTTCCAAAATTACCTTGACCAAAATGTTTTTAAACGGAAAAAAAGATAGGAAATCACGACTAGAAAATCTAGTTACATGACTTACTGAAGACAAACATCAAAGTTCAAGTTGGGTGCGATTAGATTGGAAGAGGATTAAGTCAAGGAGTAAGAATAGACTCTGTGAACACCCCACAGTTGTCTCCACCCACTCAAAAAATAAACCTCATTGGTTTGAGAAGTCCTAAATATACACATCAAGTCCAAAAATGAAGAATATTTCACCAAATACAGATAACGACTAGAAATAAAAATATAAAAACTGTAAGTGTAAGCAAAAGCAAAGTTTGGTACATGTAAAGTTACACAAAATATGATGTGCAAGAGTAAAAATGCTGATCTGAGGAAGACCCTGGGCCATTGTATCTTACGGAGACTAGAAATCAAACAATTCATACGAAGACCCTGTTGGATAGCCACATCCAGAGCAGGGCAGAAAATCATGAGCGTTATGAGCAAGAAATACTGAAGACAAGAGAGAAACCCACAAGCTGTGCGCTTCCCCAGATGGAAAAGATGCTTGTAACCCGATCCGTACGTCGTGTTTTGGAAATTTACTCGTTTAATCCATACGCTTTGCATGGAGGTCTGTCGAAATGAATTTTTTAGAAATACTGAAAGTTTCAAACAGATCTTCGTACTAGAAATATTCTAAAATGTGAAGAACACAACCACGGAGCTGCAAAATGACCCCAGGGCGTACGGATAGGGTTAAAAAAAAATTAATTAAATGCTCAAAATGTGACAAACTCTTCTTTACCACAGTTGGTCTCAGTGGCCATAGCAGATACAAGATATCATTTCAATCCTTATAAATTTCTTCTATTACTCTTTAAGAAATATTCTCCTCTGCAGATTTATTGTGCTCATTGTCCGACATTGACAAACTATTATTATCATTATTATTATTATTATTATCATTATTATTATTATTATTATTAATACTATTATTATTATTATTATTATTAATACTACTATTATTAATACATTATTAGAATTATATTATTATTATTATTATTATTATTATTATTATTATTATTTTTATATTATTAATATTATTATTATTACTGTTATTATTATTATCATTATTATTATTATAGCCTAGAAATGAAAACATAATCTTAAGCAAAAGTACACACTGGAAAAATTATCCAATGTATGCCTCTGTAGTAAATATTCAGAGACTTAGTTGTAGAAAATGCTTAAAGGAACAAAAACAAAATTTCAAACAGAGACAGCTGTCTCCCTAAAGATGTTTGTGTGTGTGACAGAGACAGTGTGTGCTGGGAGGGGGAAAGGTCAAGAAGAAAAATGAAGGGTTGCGAAAATAAAAGATTCTCTTTCCAATCATTTACAGTAAATGTTATAAAATATTATTATTAGAGTTAGAAGCACCAATATGGGGATGCAGTACTTTAAATGCAAAAACAGTATTTTTCTTCTTAAAACAAGACAATGCAAAATAACGATCCCAAATGCAACACATCTGGTCCATGTCCCGACAATTACATATGTACTTGCCCACTCGACACACTTCGCAGTACAAGAGGACAGGAAAGGTAAAAGTAAGTAGTAACCATAGCTATTATTATAATAATTATTATTATTATTATTATCATTACTATTATTATTATTACTATTATTAATATCATTATTATTATTATTATTATCATTATTATTACTATTACTATAGGCTCGAAATGAAAACATAATCTTAAGCAAAAGTACACACTGGAAAAATTATCCAATGTATGCCTCTGTAGTAAATATTCAGAGACTTAGTTGTAGAAAATGCTTAAAGGAACAAAAACAAAATTTCAAACAGAGACAGCTGTCTCCCTAAAGATGTTTGTGTGTGAGAGAGACAACGCAAGATAACGACTCCAAATGCAACACATCTGGTCCATGTCCCAACAATTACTTGCCCCCTCCACACACCTTGAAGTACGAGAGGACAGGAAAGTCAAAAGTAAGTACCGTAGTAACAAAAGCACACAGCTCTCCAGCAGAAGAAGCAACAATTTAACTACACCTGGGATTCGTTTTTCTAGAAAATATAAATAATTTGCACCATGTCAATACATTCTTACGTAACCAACAAATATGGGCACCAAAATCAGGACACGGGACCAAAAAAACAAACAAAAAAACTACATCTGGGAACTGACAAAAAACGAGTGACTTTTTCCTCAAATAGCTGCCAGACCACAACCCTTGTTTGTACCCACTGTCTGTTCTCAAAGATAAACAGTAACAACAATACCCACCATTGGTTTTTCAAGTTTCAATATACAGGCAATTTAAATGAGGCATCATAAAAAAAAATGTTTTATTTAATAATAAGGCAAGTCAAGCTGAAATGTCACCAAGTAAATCCATTGGAGCATGAGGAAACTACAAGAACTCAACCAAATAGCAAAATGTGAGGCAGCGTGGTGGAATCAGGCTCTCGTCAATTTTTGGGCCTGTAGAGGTATTGGTATCATCTTAAAGCTTGTTCACTCGTCTTTATTTGGATGAAAAAAATATCCTTTTATCTTGAATATAAGTCAAGCTATTTGTGAATGAAGGAGATGGGGGTCACCTGTTTTCAATTTTCAGAGGTAAAATTAGTAAGAAAACGGCCGCCAAAGGTTAGTTATTTCCTTATCTCAAGAGTCCGTGACTGAAAATTTAAATTTTTTATTCCTTTAATCGACGTTTATTTTAAAAAATCCACACAGAAATGAGTTTTTTAAAGGGCATGAAAGGTGTTGAGCCAAAAAACAAAAAAATTATAAAAATTCACAAACCTGTGGAAAAATGCAAGTTTCTTCACTTTAATCATTTTGACGAGAGCCTGATTCCACCACGCTACCTCACAAATGGCAATAGTGCTGAGCATGGTCCCAGATGTTCTCATTTGATCAAAATTGCTATAGCTGTCCCCGGGTTTTCATGCACCCCACATAATTTAGCAAATTTGATCATTTTTTTGCATAGTTTCTCATTATTTTCCTTTATCATTCTTTGTTAAAATTAACAGAATTGCATAATTTCACATTTTTGGGCTCAGTTTGCAAAATTTCAGAATTTTTTTTAACATAAAACAGCGGGGACAGCTATAGTTCTTTTGTCTTTTACACAGCAGAGCTACTGGACTTGCCAGCGTTAACCTGGAAACATTTTCACAGGCACTTTGGGAATGTCAGAGAAAAAATGGACGTTAGCCAGCTGTTGGGATGAACTAAGCCTAAAATTTTTTGTAGAAAAAACTTTCTTTTTTTTTTGCAATTTCTTAATCAGTGGTATAGGTTGCATGAGCTCGAAAAACATTTTGTCAAAATTCAAATTTTAAACTCTCAAAAAGTCAAGAAAAGATCAGGTACATTATGTATGTATAATTTTTTAAAGAATGAAACAGTTTGGGGTTGTTGTTTTTTTTCTGTCCTGAAAAATTGTGTTTTCTGGGCTTAGAACAATTAACAGCTTTCCAACTCCAACTCTACGACATTGAGTGAGCAGCTCTGCTAAACTGTCACAACCACGTACAATAAACTCAAAGACAAATTTTAACAATTATATTAAGGCCACACACGGGTTTTTGGGGTCCAGTTTGGGCCCAGACAATGTTTTTTTGGTCTTATTATGAAACTTCCCTTGAAAATGATGTGCTAAATTGAATGGCAGTACTCCCAGAGCTCTATTTCAAAGAGACAGCTCCATAAAGTTTGTAACAATGTGAGCCAATAAAATGCTTTCAAGCAATTTTAAGATGCTTTTTGCGTCTTTCCTCAAAATGTTCATTTCTAGGCTTTAAAAGCTAATATAATAACTCAAAAACCGTTTAATATAAAGACATGAACTTTGGAGGGTTAGTGCACCATGCATTTCAAAATAAAGTGACCGTATCTTTTTCTAATTTTTGAGAAAAAAATTTTTTAATGATTTTTTTACTTCGATATTTCGACTATTTTTGTCATTCGCCACTTCGCAAGTCTTCAAAAAGTAATAACATTATTAATAGTGAGATTTTCAAGAAAAGCTAGCGTCATTTTTTAATGATTTGTGAGCAGGTTACAAAATATATAATTAGTTCATAGATAGCATGGATAGTTTTCGAGTTTTTAGCTTTTGAAAATGGTCTTTCAGACAGCCCAGTCCAGTTTCACCCTAATTTGCCATTTCTGTTATTATGTATCAGATAATGATTCCAAAAACTGAAAAATTTTAATCCTTGAAGTGATTACTAAAAGAAAATGAGGAAAAAAAAACATAAAAATCACGAAATTGTGGATTTTGGTGCTAAGAAGTAGAGTGTGTGGCCTTATGGGACAGTGAAGGTGGGGGGGAAAAAACTATGTTCCAAAATAGAATAAAATATTGCCCAGATTTTTGTGCTTTCGGAGCAGGTACATTGAAAAAAATATCAGTATAAAATTGGAAGTAAATAAGGAGAAAAAAAAGAAAATAAAAAAATTTTTACATTGGTCCCAAAATCCATGTGTGACTAGATGCTTTTTATAACAGTAAAGATCAATATTGAAACTTTGAGAATGGTAACCGCTATTGGACTGGAAAAAAGTTTTTAAAAAAGAGAAAAACAAACATCATAACTTTAAGTGTTACTTCAATAACAGGCAGTGTCGGAATGTAAGGAAATAAAATACTGAATACGAAAACCAACATTTTGATAATATATTTTGCGAGTTGATTTCCAATGTACTTTCACTCGCAGTGAACCTGAAGGCCACATTGGTCCTCTTAAAAAGTCAAACCTTTTACACAACAGGAAAAAAAATTTTGAAAGCATCATCACATCTTTTCATCAACAGACAAATCACTTTCGGAAACAACTTGGTTCGGGAAAAGGCAAAATGAAATTCTCTCCTGTCCTCTTTGAAGAGGAAAAAACAACAACCAAACTGGATAACTAACTGAGACCGTGTGAGGCAATTGCCAGCTTCTACTGCAGGGTGCAGTGTTCTAGAGCATTTTTCCACTTATTTCAAAGAGACCCCCCAATAGATGTAAACGAGATTTCTGATTTCTGCTGATATTTCTCAACATATCTATAGAAACGTTAATAGAAAGAAAAAAAAAACTACCCAAATCCAATAAATATTTTTTTTGTTGGGATATAAAATCAAAGACATACCATAATAATACATTGATTAATAATACTGATTTTTGTTTTTTCGCTATCAGAATACATAGGCTGAAATAACACCCAATACATAGGCAAATGAAAGTTGAATGGCATATTTCGACTTCTACACCATCTAATAAAAAGTAGATTGGAGTAGAAATGGTTAAACTTTGTTGTACAGACTAGCTCTCATACATTTCCTTATTCATCGCCATCTTGAAACAAATATATATATATATAAACAAATATAAAACACCATATTTGGCCAACATAGTCTCATTGAGAGACAATCTTTGAGAACAATCAGTATGGATACCTTACGGGCTTTAATGCTGAGAGGAACTGAGCACTTATGGACCTGTCCGGAGTACAATGGTATTGTTGCCCAGGACAAGTGACAAGTAACAAGTCTCATTCAGTTTAACTACAACAACAAAAAAATAGAAGAAAAAAAAAAGGTTCAGAACTCATCAGGGTTCATACTGAACAGGAGATTTTTTTTTCCAAGACATTTCCAAGAGTTTTCAAGACCAGATTTATTTTTTTCCAAAACAAATAACGGGTCATTTCGGAAGAAAATTTGTTCTGGTGTAGTATTATTTTATTCAAAATGCGTAAAGTCGAGGCCTTCTAAACTTCGAGGGAATATTTTTACAATAGATCTTGTTAAAAATTTGTTTTGCCCAGACTTTTTCAAGAATTTTGCCAATTTCCTAAAATTTCAAGTTTTCTACGGCTTGGAAAATAAAAGCAAAGAGTTTTAGGAGTTTTCCAAGACCAGTACGAACCCTGACTCATCCTTCTACCCAAGCTGTCCGTCCGAGACATCCACCGGCCCCCAGTCCCGACGACGTCCGGTAACAACAGAATTATCATCATCCTTGTCATCGTCGCGGCCTTCACTGACATCACAGTCACGGAGCCCGTCCACCGAGATGGAGTCGGGCACGCTGGTCATAGAGTGCAGGGAGAGCCAAGCTGCCTGCATGCCTCGTCGCATGCTTGTCGTCATGCCCTGGCCATTCAGCAGGCCAGCCACGAAGGTCGAGGCCAAGCTGTGGGTGGGTGGGAGGGTTGGGGGAGGAGGTCGGGGGTCAATTTATTTTTGTAAAAATGCTTCACGCTTCACGTCCGCATCGACATAATTTAGATAATTTAGGTTTTGGTTGATTTCTATCATACCTCCTGTCAGAGTTAACCCAGTGATACAATTGTAATGATTTAACTCACTGAAGACGTTTCCCGTTAAAAACACAGGATTGCCCGTCAGTTCTGGGAAACGCGGGAACGTCATTATCGCAATATTGTGTCTATATAAAAATGCCACTAAAAGTACGGAATCTGGCTTAGACATGCGTAGCCATTTGTCTCTTTTCACAAAAAATTTCCTGGAAAACAGTCGATAACTTTTTGATCCAGAGCATTTATAGTTACGTGACTGTTACAACTGCTTGTGTGGCGTCTTTTATTTTTTTACTCATAAATTTTTTTAATATTGAATTTTATACCTTTTTTCAAATAATCATAATACATAAATAAGCTAGCAGAGATAGACACTTGTAGTTTGGTATGTTTATTGTTGTTGTGTGGTTCCTGATAGTGTCAATACGGCATTGCAATTGGTTAAATGGTTCAAATTTTATATAATTTTGAAAAAAAACAAAAAACCTTCAGTCTTCAGTGAGTTAAAACGGCATGGTGGTTTTAATCTGCCTGTCAGGGCCAACCCATTTTTTAAACTTCCGCTCTCAGGAACCAATGTCTTCTCCATGCTGTGGTGCCAATGGTCCTGGTTCAAATCCCAAATGGGGGTGAGGGTAAATGTAGGAGTAAATTCAACCAACTTGGCTCAGTTCTATTGGAAATGGACATTCAAATCGGAGACCTCGCCTCAAAAATAATCCACCGATCTCACTATAGGCATTCATAAATCTGTACTTCCCCTGGGTTCCTGATTTTATGGCTTGTACAGACAGTCATGATCAGGGTAGAAGGGGAATACTGATATAATGGGCATTCAAGGTACAGAGGCCTATGCGCCAGACCAAAATATCAGTCTTTTGAGTTTAAAGGGTAAAAATTAAAAAAGAAACATAATCACTGAATTCAGTGCTAGTTTTAGTTTTAATAAGGGTTTTACAGCACTTTCCAAGACAATAAGGTCATATAAGTGTCCAAGATTAGAGGTGTTGTATAAGAATAATATACACAAAAGGAAAAGAGGAGAGATAAGGTGGATAGATGAAAGGAAGGAGGCACCAAACCACACCAGGGCACCCACCAACCACCCACAAACACTGAATTTTCGCATCTCACAGAGACTCACAGCTTTGTAGATGAGATGATGATGATGATGATAATGATGATGATGAAGACATCGATGGAGATGGACTTGAAGCAGACAACAGATAAAATTCCCACACCCACCTGTCAAATAAATTGCTCTTATAGTATTTTGAATGTGTGTGTGTGTGTGTGTGTGTGTGTGTGTGTGTGTGTGTGTGTGTGTGCGTGTGCATGTGCGTGTGTGTGTGTGCGTGTATGCGTGCGTGCAAGCGTTCATGCATATATATATTATTATATATGTGTGTGAGTGTATATACCCTTAAAAGTGCACTGAAGATGGCCTTTTTTTCATCCTATTTCCGTCAGCAGCAATAACAATGAAATATATGAAGATGCGAAGCACAAGAATTTTTTTCTTAAAAGAAAAAACAAAAATTTCTATCACTGACCAGTCCCCAGCGCCGGACACACTGACCACTCGGGATATGTCCGAGTCTTTGTTGAGCTCCGGGAAATAAACAGCTGAAAAGTGACCACTCTGTGGGGCAAAAAGACAAAGGTGGACTCTTATATTTCAAAATACAGGACCCAGGGCATTTGTAGTTCACAGCCAATGGGCACAAAAATTGCCACTTTTTTTCCCTTTTTTTTTTTTGGCAAAGGAACATCCACACATCAATACATATAATGGTTTCTTAATTTAAGGAAACTGCAAGACAGGCCGACAGGCAGACAGTCCACAGACCTCAAAATATAATTAGGTCAAGTAAGTGCAGAAGATTAGAGGTATTACAAGAGAGAAACAAACAAAAGAAGGAGGAGAGACCAGGACGAAAGATAGTTTGATACGAAACAAGAAGCAAACCACACCAGAGCACCCGACTGCCATCCAACACCTTCAACTCTAAAGCAACATTTTTTCCCCCTCCAGTTCTAACCAGGCTAAACGGAAAACAAGTTAAGACTACACAAACATTGGAGTCCCCAACCTGATTCCCCGTTTGGACTTCTCTGTAGACATCCACCCCTTGGCGCTCATACTCATAGGACCTTATGCAGTCGCGAGCCCCGTACAACCTTACTAAAACAAAAACAAAAAAAACACTGGAGGAAAGCAGAAGGAGCAGACCACAGGAGAGTACAGTACCCACAAACCCCCCTCAACATCAGCACAAGACCACATGGTGCTGTAGCAGCCTACCTGACCAGCCTTGAGGAGGTCGGAGAACGAGAGAGTCTCCGAGTTGTGTGGACACCTGTGACACAGCACCACGCCGTGTCGACCCAGCGTCAGCAACACACAGGGGATGTGTCGCAACAGGTCTCGACACAGCGGTACACACGTTTCAATGATGTCACTCGTGCTCCAATTCTCAGACACCACAGCATCTGCGAAAGCCAATATGAAATGTAAGTTCTTATCATTAGTGGTCGGATGATTACGGTTTTGGACCCTCAACACAATAATTATCATATATTATTATCATCATTATTATTACACTTATAATCATTGTTTTAGTTATTAATAATATTATAATACCTATTATATTTTTTTATTATTATTATCATTATCATTATTATTATTATTATTATTATTGTTCTTCTTCTTATTATTTTTATTATAATACCTATTATAATTACATTTTTGTTGCTATTATCATTACTACTATTACTAAAATTATCATTATACAAGCACAAGCAATAGACACAGGAACAGCACTTCTCCCAAATGAGCTTTATACAACAAATCATTGTCTATTCTCTGTATAGGGACGTCATCAGGATTTCATTAAAATACCTGAAAATTTACGAAGGTACATTTGAAACCAAAAAAAAGATTAAAAGACACAACTAAAATGGGGAGAAAATCATTGGGGAAAAACGACATCTCTGTCTGTAGTCGTAAATCTATCACAGTAATCACCATCTTTGTACTTCACACTTTGATTTGAGAGGTACATTGACACAATAACTGTCCTTTAGTACAAAACAAATTGCGAGATAGACAGGTACAACAGAGGGAGGGAAGAAAAGTAGAACTTACAAGTGATTCCCTCCAATCACTCTCATGATTTTAGTAATAATTGGCAACTTTTTTATGCAAATCTTACCAGGGTTCTTCTAAAGATTTTTAATTTTTTAAAAACATCAGAGAGCTCCAATTTTATCATTTCTGGTGCTCATATGACCTTATGCAGTTGCGAGCGCTGTAAAACCTCTATACCAAAACTAAACCCCCACACAGCTGAGCTTGTTTACCCACGGCTGCAGTCTCATGTCTTACTGTTAATGGACTCATGGTCTAGGTTTGGAGAAATTGTTCTAACATATATATACACCTTGGTGTTGATTTTATAAGAACATCTTGAATTAGAGACATGGATTCAACTTTTGATTGAGGGAATTATCTTTATGATCAAACTACTAAGATAAAATAGGGATGGGAGCATGGACAAAGTAAAGACTATGGTGTGACAGCGGTGCTATCGGTTGACCATCGGAAATACACATTTATCCTACATCGTCCTGATGTTGGGTGATCATCGGTTTCCGATAGTGTGTGGGAACCCGACATCGTCCTGATGGTGGATTGTCATCGGTTTCCGATGGTAAGTCGGTATCCATCATCGCACCGATGGTGGGTTGTCATCGGAAACCGATGGTAAGTCGGTATCCATCATCGCGCCGATGGTAGGTTGTCATCGGAAACCGATGGTAAGTCAGTATACAACATCGCACCGATGGTGGGTTGTCATCAGAAACCGATGGTAAGTCGGTATACATCATCGCACCGATGGTGGGTTGTCATCGGAAACCGATGGTAAGACGGTATCCATCATCGCGCCAATGGTGGGTTGTCATCGGAAACCGATGGTAAGACGGTATCCATCATCGCGCCAATGGTGGGTTGTCATCGGTTTCCGATGGTGTGTCGATATCCTTCATCGCGCCGATGGTGGGTTGTCATCGGAAACCGATGGTAAGTCGGTATACAACATCGCGCCGATGGTGGGTTGTCATCGGTTTCCGAAGGTGTGTCGGTATCCATCATCGCGCCGATGGTGGATTGTCATCGGTTTCCGAAGGTGTGTCGGTATCCATCATCGCGCCAATGGTGGATTGTCATCGGAAACCGATGGTAAGTCGGTATACATCATCGCGCCGATGGTGGGTTGTCATCGGAAACCGATGGTAAGTCGGTATCCATCATCGTGCCGATGGTGAGTTGTCATCGGAAACCGATGGTAAGTCGGTATCCATCATCGTGCCGATGGTGGGTTGTCATCGGAAACCGATGGTAAGTCGGCATCCATCATAGCGCCGATGGTGGGTTGTCATCGGTTTCCGATGGTGTGTCGGTATCCTTCATCGCGCCGATGGTGGGTTTTTATTGGAAACCGATGGTAAGTCGGTATACATCATAGCGCCGATGGTGGGTTGTCATCGGAAACCGATGGTAAGTCGGTATCCATCATCGTGCCGATGGTGGGCTGTCATCGGAAACCGATGGTAAGTCGGTATCCATCATCGTGCCGATGGTGGGTTGTCATCGGAAACCGATGGTAAGTCGGCATCCATCATCGCGCCGATGGTGGGTTGTCATCGGTTTCCGATTGTGTGTCGGTATCCTTCATCGCGCCGATGGTGGGTTGTCATCGGTTTCCGAAGGTGTGTCGGTATCCATCATCGTGCCGATGGTGAGTTGTCATCGGAAACCGATGGTAAGTCGGCATCCATCATCGTGCCGATGGTGGGTTGTCATCGGAAACCGATGGTAAGTCGGCATCCATCATCGCGCCGATGGTGGGTTGTCATCGGTTTCCGAAGGTGTGTCGGTATCCATCATCGTGCCGATGGTGAGTTGTCATCGGAAACCGATGGTAAGTCGGTATCCATCATCGCGCCGATGGTGGGTTGTCATCGGTTTCCGATGGTAAGTCGGTATCCATCATCGTGCCGATGGTGAGTTGTCATCGGAAACCGATGGTAAGTCGGTATCCATCATCGTGCCGATGGTGGGTTGTCATCGGTTTCCGAAGGTGTGTCGGTATCCATCATCGTGCCGATGGTGAGTTGTCATCGGAAACCGATGGTAAGTTGGTATCCATCATCGCGCCGATGGTGGGTTGTCATCGGTTTCCGATGGTAAGTCGGTATCCATCATCGTGCCGATGGTGGGTTGTCATCGGAAACCGATGGTGTGTCGGTATCCATCATCGTGCCGATGGTGGGTTGTCATCGGAAACCGATGGTAAGTCGGTATCCAACATCGTGCCGATGGTGGGTTGTCATCGGAAACCGATGGTAAGTCGGCATCCAACATCGTGCCGATGGTGGGTTGTCATCGGAAACCGATGGTAAGTCGGCATCCATCATCGCGCCGATGGTGGGTTGTCATCGGTTTCCGAAGGTGTGTCGGTATCCATCATCGTGCCGATGGTGAGTTGTCATCGGAAACCGATGGTAAGTTGGTATCCATCATCGCGCCGATGGTGGGTTGTCATCGGTTTCCGATGGTAAGTCGGTATCCATCATCGCGCCGATGGTGGGTTGTCATCGGAAACCGATGGTGTGTCGGTATCCATCATCGTGCCGATGGTGGGTTGTCATCGGAAACCGATGGTAAGTCGGTATCCATCATCGTGCCGATGGTGGGTTGTCATCGGAAACCGATGGTAAGTCGGAATCCATCATCGCACCGATGGTGGGTTGTCATCGGAAACTATTATGACAAACTTCAGTTTTGACCTAAAAATTAATATTTTGACCTGCCATTTACTTTGAAATTTTATATTAAATGAAAGTTTCCTCATAATATGTATCTGTGTACATGTTTTTAATGTTTATCAACTCTGGAAAGCCCTCAGTGCAAAATGCTCGGAAAAGATGTGTCTTTTAAAATATGCAAAAAAGTTCATTTTGAAATTTTGCACCTTGTGAAGGGTTTTCTCAGAGCCACACACATTTGAGACCACAGAACCATTATTCTGTAACCTACAATTATGTTGTGACCGAAACCAACGCTGACCACCTGTTGCAAATTGGACAGATTTTCTCACTTTCCAACTCATCTCATAATAACTATGTTAGCAACATCCATAGATTTACACCAATACACCAATTCTATAAGATTTAGTGTACAGTTATTATTATTCATCACCTTTAATAATAACACATAATTTTTCAGTACTGTAAAAGTCTAAGAATCAAAATCAATAAATAAAAAAATATAATATAATATATATAAATAATAATGAATGAATAAATAAATAAATAAATAAATGAGTAATGGAATAAACAAATAAATTAATAAAAAAATTAATTAATTAATTAATTAATAACCTCACCAAGGGTATCATCTTGCCCCAGATTTTGCCTCATTGACTTCCACATGGTGACGAGTTCCCCCAGGTTGGGAGTGACCAGACTCAGGTGTTTCCAGGCCTCTGACAGGAAAGGTTTACGCGACATGACCTGCAAGTCTGTCGGTTCAAACCACACTGAAAGACAGAATCAATATATATATAGATCTAGTCAAACTTTCTCTACCCGTCAAAGACATTCACCCGTACAAACGACCATTTCCCACGTCCTGCCTTACGGTTTGTTTGTTTTTTTGCTGCTTTTTATTATTTTTTTATTTTTTTGGGAGGGGGGGGGGGGGGGTTCAATTATATCATCATGACACTGTCTAAAACATCCACCTGTCTAAAATAACCACTTTTCTCCTTAGTAATGAGTGGCCGTCATGGACAATTTCGACAGAATGTTGTAAGGTGGGAATTCAACATTTGTGTTTGAGCCTGAAAAATGGTTGACGTTTTTATGATAAAAGGGGTTCTAATGGAAAATTTAATGCTGAACAGTGTTTTTTTTAATTTTTCAGGTATCTTTTAAGTAGTTTTGAGACATTGCACGTTTTGTGATGTAGGGTTTTAAAAAAAGTAGGCTACAATTTTTAAATACCAGCCAACAATTCTAGAAATACTGAAGTAACTGACAATGCCACAAAGGCCAAACAGACCTGGGACATCATGACGGGAACAACTCAGAACGACCTCCCCGATGACCCGAGCCGAGAAGTTTCCGTCCAGGATCACTAAGGGAGGTGAGCGGGCCAGCTCTTGCTGCAAGGACTTGATCTGGGGGGAGAGATTATTGCATTTAGGCACACAGGGAAAAACAACCCCAGAGTTTAAACAGAGAATTACAATTGCAACATGATGAGTCAACAAAAAAATTGAAAAAGTAACATCCATTTGGAAAGGACAATACAAAGATACAAAAAAAAGTATTCTATGAAGTACCATATTCCCCAGTCTCAATAAAAGGGAGAAGCATGGACCGTTAATGAAGAAGATTACAGCTTTCGAAATGAAATGCTATAGAAGAGCTTTAAGAATACCATGGTCCGAGCTCATATGATGTTATACAGTTGCTAGAGCTGAAAAACTATTACAAAACACACAATATCCTGGCCAAAGAAAATAAAAATTGAAAAAGCACTATAAAAAATAGGTTTAGAAACACCAAACTCCTCCAGAACGTAATGAAACAAAAACTGAACTACTTTGAGTATATCATATCACACACCATGATTCACTCGAGAAACATATTTTAGAAGCAAAAGTAAAGGGTAAGAGAGGAAGAGGGAGACCTAAAAGAATATGGGAAAGGACAGAAACCTGGCATGGAACCAACACAGGAGACCGAGCATTTCATTGCAGAAAGATCCAAGAAGCAATGTCCAACCACTGAAAAAGCTCAGAAAAAGCTGAAAAAAAGAAGATCCAACGGCATGGGTTAAAAACTCAGCCCCCTTCAATATTAAGGATAATATCAAATACCATTACAGTTTAGTTTTAGTAAACACTTTACAGCACTTTAGTTGTAGTAAGTTTTTACGGCGCTCGCAACTGCATAAGGTCAGATGAGCGCCAAGGGGTGGATGTCAATAGAGAAGTCCAAACGGGGAATCAGGCTTACTCTGCTTACCTCTCTAGTCTCAACAGTACAAAATCTGCTTCGACTATCAAGGCACCCTGGAAATAGCAGTTCACAAGAGAGTGACAAACATACAAAAGAAGTAGAGGAAAAATGACGATAGTAAGGATGAGGAAAGAAAAAGAAGCAGTTCCCCCTACGTTGTTACGGCACAGTATGAGCATGACATAGATAAATCAGCCCAGTTACAATTGTACAAGGCAATCCTTCTGGCGAGATCCAGCTCCTCATATTTATTAGTTTTAATTAGCATTTTACGCAGCAAGCAACACAATAAGGTCACGTATGTGCCAAAGATTAGAGGTGTTATAAAAGAGTAAGTCTAGTTTAGCAAGAGATTTATGGCACTTTCAACACAATAAGTGCCAAAGATTAAAGGTGTTACAAGAGAGTAACAAACACAAAAAAGGAGGAGAGGTAAAGACAATTCATGCTTGATAGGCATAGGAGCAAAACACACCAGAGCACCCATCGACCACCTACACACCTTTATTCCCCGAGAACCAACTTGCAAGACTTAAACACAACACCCCTTCTTCATCTAAATCACATCTGGGTTTTGTTCCTACTCACCAAGTCCTGGTCAAACTGTGCATTGATGTCCATGTCCCCGACCCCAAACAGCAGCTGACCGGAGGAGCCCAGCACCGGGCAGTAGGAGGCAGTCGACGCTCCAGAGACACGCAGCACAGAGTGCAAGTCCTGCAAGCAAAATGACATAAACAATTACAATAACCACATAATAATAATAACAATAATAACAATAACCATATAATAATAATCAAAATATAAATAAAATAATAATAACAATCATCATCATCATTAAAATATATAATATTATAATAATAATAATAATAGTAATAATAATAATAATAATAATAATAATAATAATAAAAATAATAATAATGACAACAACAACAACAACAACAATAATAATAATAATAATAATAATATGTGAGGCATCGTGATGAAATCAGGCGCTCGTTAAAATTCAGCATTTGGAGAAACAGGCATTTTTTCATAAGTTTGGAAATTTTTATCTCATTTTTTTTTAGCTCAACACCTTTTATGTCCATATAAAAACACATTTCCATGTGAATTTTACTGAAAAACGTTGCTTAATGGTAAAAAATATGTAAAATTTCAGTTTTCAAGGAGTCTCAAGCTATAGAAGTTACCAAACTTTAGCGGCCATTTTCTCGCTAATTTTACCTCTAAAACCATGCAACCCCTAACCACCTTCAATCGCAAAATTTCAATTTCTATTCAAGATAGATGGGTGCTCTTTTCATAGTTAGCAAGGCAAATGAATAAGCTTTCAGATGATACCAATAACTCCACTGACAGACAATTAACAGCACTGAAAGTATACTGTTGGTTAATTTGGGTAATCAACATAATAATCAAAAACAAAACAGGAAAAGAAAAGAAGTGGGCTCTCCCAGTGGTACCCTCAATCACTCACTATAATAATTATGATAATGATAACGACAATATAAGATTAATGATGAAAATATTAATCATAATAATCATAAAAATAATCATTCCAGACTCAAAACTCAAACCCATCACCTTGCAGTTGCAAATCAGGCAGCCTAACTCTAACCAGTTAGAAAAGAGCTGCTGTGTAGTGTACACAAAGGCAACATTTTATCAGGAAAGTTTTAAGAAGCTGGGGACGAGGGGGGGGGGGGGGGAGAAGCAAGACAGAAACAACAGAAGGAAACAAAAGAAGGAAACAAAAGAAGGAAACAAAAGAAGCCGCACCGACCACTAGCGCACTTCAACCACCAGCTTCACCCCAGAGCAGATGAATACGTACTAGGCAAACACTGAGAGGAAAGTAGAAGCAGCAGATCCCACAAGAGCCTAAAGGTCTCTCTATAGTCGAATCTCAGCCTTCCTCTCTTTCTCCGCGCCCCCCCCCCCTCCGGGGTTCCATCTTGTTGCAACTGTCTCAAATTATTAACCCTTAGAGCCCTTGCAACCAGTACACCAGTGGCGCGTAAAGCTGCCAGTGTGCCTAACCATCTGTACACCGAAGAGCAAGACCCCATCCCCAACTCAGCCCGCCTGAGACAAAACACGAACAGAAAACAGCATTTACTACACAAGACATTATTGATTATTTTGAAGATCTTTTTGAATTATATGCTGGTAATAATGACAAGGACTACCCCGAATGGGATATGGAATGTGATTCTGACGATCATATGAATGTTAGTAATATATCGCTCAGGAGCTCAGGCCGAGGGGCATGGTAGCCTCAGGAGGTCAGGACTCGAAGGGTTAAATAAAACATCATTTTTTTCACGCAATGAAAGCAAAGAGCCTGGCTATTACATCATGGCGTGCTTACCATGTGGGAACAGTTGGCGAAGAAAGCGGCGGCTCCGGCGTCATTGCCCACCACCGACACAAACACGGGACTCATCTGCAGACGGCTCAGGCAGTCGGCCAGGTTTCTCCCCACACCCCCGAACGACTGCATCACCTTGCCAGCGTACGTTCCTCCGTCAAGCTGTAGTGAAGAAGAGAGAGAGAGAGAAACCGCATAAAACATCAAATTCACCCACATTTGTCTTCACCTACATTAAAAATATAAGATTTCACAGATAACATCCGGTAAGACTGGGCAACAAGTACTTTCACAACAAGGTTGTATTAAAAACCTCAACAGATGAAATTTACATTGGAAATGTGTGGAAAAGTCCGAGAAAAAACACGAGATAAAAATTTTAAAAAACAATACTTTGTCATTGACTTAATTTGTTTGTTTGTCAGAGTGTCTTTGCCTGTCTGTTAGTCCTGACGTTGAGTTAAATTTCTCCTAGTCCTAGTGTGAGTGACACACTTCAAAGCAGCCAAGGACACAGAGAGTATACCTTACACTTTTTGCATTGATTCTAATCTATCTTTGTTCTTTACGCCCGCCATCAACATGCCTGTCAGGGCCACCCAGGGCTGAGAGAAATACAATGTCCCAATCCAAGCAGAAAGACCAAGCTGCTCAATAAAAATTCTCCACAGATAACAATCAAACTCAGGTCTTCTTGTGTGCGATGGCAAAGCGCCTAACAGCTACACCACAGACATCAAGCTAGCTGCTCCTGTTTTAGGGTGAGGCCACATTACAAGTGAGAGAGCGGGGCTGAGCAGGAACAAGAAGAAATATAACAGATATTTCTGTTTGATTGACCATACTATGAGCAGTTCCAACGTGAATCTCGTTAACTTTGAGTGAGACAATACTTCGCTATGTTTCTTCTCACTTCCCGCTTGGCCTGGCTCATTCTGAGACCACCCATATTTCAGTGTTGGCAGATTTCAACACCCCCCCATGCTGTCTAGACATCTCCACGTGCTCCACATGAGTCTCGAAAATTACTCACCTCATCTCTTGAATCATGTTTCTGACCCACGGGCTAGCCAACACTCCAGTTTTTACCTCAGCTGTTTCCCACTAGCTTGCTGCTTATTTCCCGCTATAGAAAAGCAGCTCATAGTATGGCCACCCCCAAGTTTATGGCTCATCGCTTGGTTCACGCTAGCTTCAGCTCTCGCTTGTAATGTGGCCTCACACTTACCCATTTTAATGTGAAAGTCAACACTCCTTTCAGCCCTTTGACAGTTAGGGTTTGTTTCTTGTTTGTGATCTTCCTGTCTCTTCCTCTACATTAACTCTTTATCTCCAGCAAGCTGCTCCCAGCAGCTCGCAGTCGGAACCCCTGTCCACCATCAATAATTTATTAATAGAGGCACCAGCCATCCATGTCCAAGTGCTGTTTTAGCCAACGGAACCCCTGTGCCAGTGGGCACATTCTTTTAAGACGACTTCGACATCAAATTACTTTTCGGCAATAGCCCGAAAGCAGGTTACTTTTATCGGGAGTTCATTCATTTGATTGAAGAACTATCAAAATAGGTTGACTTGCTTTGACTTAATGACCCATTAGTGGCGTTTTTGTCATTTTTAGATCGCCACACAAAAACCACCACCGCACCTTAAAGTCCTCGTCCACAAGCTTCACACTGAGGTCACTCAGGGTCGCTCCCAGGACAACCTGAGGAAAAGTACAAAGGTAAAAGGTCAGGTCGTAACATGTGCAGTATTTTCATTGTTTTTGAGTATATGAGTTGATCATAGACGAGTTGAACACTGATGAGTCGAACATTGATGACCTGAACACATCAGTGATCATGATTCACCATTCATTTCTTTGCTCAAAGTGCTTTGCACTCTCATTGAAACCTAAAAGTCAATCGGTTTCAGCTACTAGGCCTCGTAGTCCCAATAAAGGTTACCTTCAACCTTCATTATTCGTTAGACTGGGAGATCTGAATTTCATATGAATTTTTCTACAAAGTATAGAAGAATTCTATTTCCCATCCCCGAAAACTGATATTAAAAATACTATGGGAAAAAATATACTCAGGACACAACCCCGAAAATGATAACAAAAGTACTACGGGAAAACACATATTCAGGACACAACCAGAAATAAACCACACACAAAAGAGTTCTTAACTTTTAAGAGTATGTAAGAGTTTTACGGCACTAACAACACAAACAGGTCTCATAGTTGTAGAATATAGAGTAACATACAAATAAAAAGGAGGAGAGAGAACAGATATAAAGATTATAAAAGATAGGAAAGTAGGAGCAAACCACACCAGAGCAGCCGCCAACCACCAACAAACAAAGCAGACCATACAATACGCAAAAAAATCATAAAAAGAAAGCTGAACCTACAGGCCTACCAGGTATTTTGCCGTTCTCGTCTCTGCCCCGCCTACTGCTTGGTGATGAACGTCTGTCACCCCCACTGGGGGCGGAGCTTGGGGTTTCTGCAACACTTGAAGGCGGGGCGACCGGCTTTTGGTTCCATCTTGAGATGTCGCGGGCTCTTCTGAGCTGTGACAGGCAATTTGCGATGCCTGCCGCCACTTTCGCGTTGTTCTGCACCAAGGCAATGTCTTTGTACTTGAGTTAAGGCAAATGCTAAATCTTGTATTCATCTTAAATTTGAAAGCACAGGGGAAGGGGAGGGGTGTGGACGGAGAAAGAGACTGACAGACAGACAGACAGACAGACAGAGGGAGGGAGAGAGAGAGAGAGAGAGAGAGAGAGAATGAGAGACAGAGAGGGAGAGAGGCGGGGAACAAAAACATTCAAGAAGCTAAGCGAGAGGTCAGCGGTCAAGGATACTGGACTTGAGGGAATGACCACTGGTCAGCTCATTGACCCTACTCAGGACATAAGGGGTCACATCTCGCCCAGACACGCCCTCCAGTCTGGAAGCAAAACAAGAACAATTAACATTCCGAAAGAATAAACAACCTTTAAAGTTTGACGTGCATTGGGGGGAAAGTAAAAGTATCATCTAAAAATATTGCTACCTACATCTTTTAAAAATACAAAAATACTCTACCCGTGCATCGGGCCAAGATGGTCGGCACTGGCCAAGTAACGCCCCCCCCCCTCCCCCCCCTACTCCCCCTCAAACCCTTAACATACACTTTTCCCCATTTAATACATTCAAGTTATTTAAAGAAGATTTGCGACAATAGTGTCAGAAATGTTCAGTGAAGATCTCTATCTATTTATTGACGCAACTCCTGTTGACTTATGGGTTTCTTTCTCATATTTATTATTTGCGAATCCAGTCTTGAAAGTTCATAATTTTTCTTTGTTCTAGTAAGAGTGTTACAGCACTTGAAATACAATTATGTCATACAAGCGCCAAATATTAGAGGTGTTACAAGAGAGTAACAAACACAAAAAAGCCAGGAGGAGAGATGGGGATAGTAGATGTTTGATAGAAAAGAAGGAGCAAGCAAACCACACCAGAGCACCCGACAACCACCCACTAACTTTTGTTCAGTATCAGCAGGTCCGTGAGGAGCAGTGCTACTAAAAGACAATGAATGCATTATATTTTGTGACACAAAAACAGACTTCCTTGCTCAAACCCTCAAAATGTATCAAATATTACTTTTTTGGGTAGACTGGTTGGCAGCTACGCAATTAAAAACTTACGACAGTCTTTTCAGTCTCACCTTGCCAGCTCAACAGCCTCATCTATGGCATCCTGGATTACTTCCCCTGTCACAGCGTGCTCTTTCGGGATGGGGACGGCAATAAGGATGCCACTTGTCAGGCCTAGCTGCAAACTTGTATCTGAAAATAGACGGGAGTGTGAAAACTCTGTGGTTTCTTCATTGTGTTAGTTTGCGCAAGTATGAGAGTGTGGGTTTGGGTTTAATATGTGTGTACAAAACATTTTTTTTCCCTTTAAGTTGCGCTGTAGAACAGAGTCAAATGGAGTTACATAATTTCCCTGTGACAGCAACTATATAACTGTTTTAGTAGAGGTTTTACGCCTCTCACAACTTCATAACGTCATATGAGCGCCAAGGGGTGGATATCAACAGAGAAGTCCTTACAGGGAATCAGACTTACTCTGCTCACCTCTCTAGCTTCAACAGCACAAAGTCTGCTTCGACTATCAAGGCACCCCGGAAATAGCGGGTCACAAGAGTGTGAAAAACACACAAGAGAAGCAGAGGAAAATGACGATAGTAAGGATTAGAAAAGAAAAAGCAGCAGTTCCCTGTTGTAGTTCAGGCATAGTTATTAGCATGACATTGTTGGATCAGCCCATTTACAATTTTACTGTGCATTAGAACGAGAAATGTCCCCCCTTTTGGAATGACCTAACAGCACTTCAGTCAGTGGCACCACCCCGGGGGGGTCGATATAACTGTAGCAGCTTGCCTTTGAGTTGAAGCTTGAGTAGACAGACATAGTCACATTGACACAATCACCATCATTTAGTGATGGAAAAAACAAAAAAAACAAGACAAGCAGACACAGAAACTGGGAACGTAAAGAAGTAGGACCTAGGACACATGCCCTCAAGCAACCCACTGATAGTTGGTAAATTCATCTTGCAAAGAATTGAGAAAATCAGGAAATCACAAGGAAACCACAGGGATTCTGTGAAAATAACTGAAAATTTAAGAAGTTGCATTAGCAAACAAAACCAAAAAAAACAAAACAATAGACATCTAAAAAGGTTAAAAGGGGTAAAACAGTTCACAAATTCTGAGAATAACAAACGGAATTTTATTGACAATAACTGAAGTTTTAGTACAGGTTTTACGGTGCTCGCAACTGCATAATGTCATATTATGAGCGCCAGAAGATTAGAGGTGTTACAAGAGAGTAACAAACATAAAAAAGAAGAATAAAAGATAAGGACGATAGATGTTAGATAGGAAAGAAAAAGCAAACCACACTAGAGCACCAGCCAACCACCCACTAATAACTGAAATAACAGGGGGAAAAAAATCGAAAACCAGCTTACTAATCATCCGAGCTGCCTCCATGTGGCCAACAACTTTGTGTGGGGACAAATAGCCGCTGTCGCGAGTGAAAAAAGCTGGGAAGCTTCGAGTCTTTCCGAATGTGGCCACGTTCACACCCTGGGTTTCCTGATATAGAAGGAGACATTGTCACCTTACTACTCTAAGAAGGCTGCTCCCTTTCAAGTAACAAGAGCTAAGTAAAATCAAAACATATATAAATTTGCTTGAAGAGCGGGGGAGGATTCAAGAAGAAAAAGACTGCATATGAATGCCAACACTGTAGAAGAGTTTTGCAGCATGTGCAATACAATTAGGTCATATAAGTGCCCAAGGTTAGAGGTATTACAAGACAGTATCATACACCAAAAAGTAGGAGGAGAGATAAGACGACAGATTTTTTATATGACAGAGGGAGCAAACCCCACCAGAGCACTCCCTAACACCCGTAATATCTTAATCTTTTTAGGACTGTCATACAAAATATGTGCACAGCCTTTAGATTTTCATTCATTTGATCTTGCTCTGACGTATATCAAAAGTTTCTTGTTTCAGTATAATTTTTTTCATTGTTTTTTTTTTTCTCAAATATCTCTCTACGTTAGTGTAATGTAGACAAAGAGTTGAACTTGTCCAAGATGATCATGCATTGTCGAGGAGCAAAGTGGTCTTCTCAGACAGTAGATCCTCTTGAACAATGATGTAACAATGTCATTATGTCTATAATAATCAAAGTCAAAATTGTCCAAGACAGCCCCATATCGTTGAGAAGAAAAGTGGTAAACTTAGACAGGTGATCTTCTAGAAGCGTCATTATGATAATTAACACTTTGCCGTCACATCTCGCTGATCGGCGATGTTTACTACTCAGTTTCTTTGAATTTTTCCCAAAATGCCTTTGCCTTTGATGGCAAGGGTTTTTACTATATGAGCCTTGTGAAGGCAAAGTGTTGAGGTGGGTGGTTGGCGGGTGCTCTGGTGTGGTTTGCTTCTTCTTTCCTATCAAACGTCTATCGTCCTGATCTCTCCTCCTTCTATTTTGTGTTTGTTCCTCTCTTGTAACACCTCTAATCTTCGGCACTTATATGACCTTATTGTGTTGCAAGTGCCGTAAAACTCTTTACTAAAACTTTTTTTTTTTAAAGTGTTGAGCGGAAAGGCGGTGGGGGGAGGGGAGTCGGACATGGCCATTTGCGCAGGTGGTTGTCTTGGACAGGTGGCCGTTAAGAGCAGGTTTGACTGTAATTCTTTGCACAGGATATATGAAGCTCATTCAGAATTCATCATCCGAAAGGTTAACCCTAAAAACAAAAACAGGCATTCAGAAAATGACAGAGGAACTGACCAGATACTCCAGTGTCTTTGGAATGTCCAGTATTGACTTGACCCCTGCTGAGACCACAGTGACCGGCGTACGGCCCAGTTCAGTGAGGTCAGCGCTCACGTCGAAGCCTGTCGAGTTTGTATTGTTTTTAGTAAGAGTTTAACAGCGTTTGTACACAATAAGGTCACATAGGTGCCAAAGATTAGAGGTATTACAAGAGAGTAACAAACACAAAAAAGAAGGAGGAGAGATAAGAATGATAGATGTTTGATAGGAAAGAAGGAGCAATCCACACCAAAGCACCCACTAAACACCCAAGCTTGTATAGCTTTTTAAAAATTCCACTTTCATTGAGGCCAGATGTTCATGCTTGTAAGGACCAACCTAGATGGATTGAGTTAGTGCATCCCCGCAGAAAAATGACAACACTCAAAAAGATATCTTCCCCATAATATCGCTACCCCAGTGCTTTCTTGTAGTACCTCCATTTTTAATAACAGTGAAAAGAGTTTATCACAAAGAGTGAGCAGAAGAAGATGTCACATTTTCACTGTTTAAAAAAATGGAGATACGACAAAACAGCACTGAAGTAGCGATACATTGATCAACCTCATGACTTTAGCATGCTAGGTGAGAAATCTTACCGCTACACCAGACACTGTTGAAAAATCAGAGAGTGGAAACTTCGTTACAAAGGGAAAAACACAAGGACACTGTTATCTTCACAGATGAAAAATTAGTACTCCAAGCTTTGGAAAACATGAACTTCGAAAGCCCAGCCTGCCTATCAGTGGCTCAAACAATTAACACTTTCATGCAGACCTATGCCGTCGACCTGACTTTACAATGGATACCTGGCCCCATCAACATCACAGGAAACAACAGAGCAAACACCCTTGCCCAGAAGGGATCATCACAAAAACAACCTCAAAACCCAGTATCACAACAGACAGTCAAGGTCCTTACCAAATGCAACACCAGTGAACAGCGGCTGAATGGATGGGCATTGGACAAAACTGGTAGAGCTGTATTAATAAACATGACTGCTCCCAACTCAAGAGATGCACTAAATTCCCTACACAACACATCCCATTGAGTTCCTACCTAAATAGGATCTGCAAGGATACCCCACCTGACTGCCCGCTGTGTGACTGCCAGGATGAAACAGTATCACACCATCTCTTTTCCCGCCGCGCACTTAACAACCCGTGTAGCACCTACCTACCTGCCTCCCCCCGATATCGGAAATACTTTATATAGCAACAAAACACAGCTGATAAAAACCTGTAAATTCTTTGCCATATCGACAAGCCAAAGGGCTAGAACCCAGATGGCTGCTGGATCTGAAAAGTAAAGTAAAGTAAACCACTACACCACATGCTGGTGAAAAATCAGAGAGTGGAAACTTCGTTACAAGAGGAAAAAACCAACACTCACTTGTCTCAGCTCCTCTGTGAACGCCTCCTATCCCCCCTGTGGCAAAAATGGGCACACCTGCCATGTGAGCACCAATCATTGTCCCCGAGACCGTGGTACCTCCGCTAAGGCCCTGAATAAGACCAAAAAAAGAAAGGAAAAAAAAAGAAATTGAAATTACACTTGTTCTCAACACTTTTATGCCAGAACTCAAAACGAACATTAAACGTCTCAATACCTTGAACGTCAAGAAATCAGTTGTTTGTTTTTTTAACAAAGAGTTTCAGTGTTTTGGTAAAAAGACACCAAAAAATGTGTTTAAGACAAAGCACAATAATTTAAGTAGCCAAAAAAAAGGAGGAAAAATTTTTAATGACAGTTTTATTTATCTTTTAAGGAATGTTTATTTTAAAATGACAAGTGCAAAACAACTCAAACAATAGCATAAAACTACCTTCTGCAATATCATCACAATCTTCAACCTTTGACCTCCATCTCACCTGACCAAGCACAAAGGCTAGATCTCTCCGAGATATCTTCCACAGACCCGTATCTTGTTCTGACAAAAATTGTAGTTCCTCATCGCTCACTCCTGTTAAAAAAAAAAACAAGAAAAGAAAAGAAAAAAAAAACACTTTAAACATTTTTCAAAGCAATTTCTGTCATATACAGTCAAGCACACACCTTCCCTATGTTAGAAACTTCCTAGCAGAATCAGCTGGACAGCAAGCAAAAGAAAACAATGGCATAATGTGCACTAAGTAAGGTTAATCTAAGAAGCACCAGGCTCTTCACATTGGAGATTCTGAGACATACTACAGATCCCTAGCGCCCCAAACTTTTTTGTTATCAAAACTGAAAATGAATTGGCCCACAACACACAAGTAAGATATACAATGAACAAGTAGAGCTCAAGTTTCTACAAAACTTATCAAAAATAGTCAGAATTATAAATATCAGGAACATGAAAACCATCCGTGTCCTTTTTAGTTTTAGTAGAGGTTTTACGGCTCTCACAACCCATCCATGTCCACTTAAACCCAAAACAACAAACCAGGTACTAGGTGAGTCAAGTCAAAGTCTGGTTTACGATTAGTTGAAATGACAACACCAACATTTTACCAAAACATTGATGAGGGACAAAAATTACAACGGAAAAAGTACAATTAGCAGACCACAAAGCAGCCCCTGGCATAGTCAAAAACAAAAAAGCAAAAAGTAACTAGTCAAAACCATATTTGTTCCATTTTAGTTTAGTAAGAATCTTACGGCACTTGCAACACTGAATATGTTATATAAAAGCCGAAGATTTGAGGTGTTACTGAAGAGTAACGTACAAGGGAAAGAATTAGGTGAGCTAAAGAAGATGGATGTTTGATGGGAAAGAAAAAGCAAACCACACCGGAGCATCCATCAACCACCCATTATTCCTCCCACAAAAACCAGAGACCCCATCCTCAGGGCTCCTGATTCTTTCTGCAGCCTTCCTACTGCTACTCCTTGGGTCCTTCTTACTGCTGTCTTCCAGCCACACCCCTAATCTTCTGGTAAGAAAAACCTATACCTAGCCTTCTCGCACAAAGAGCGAAAAATCTCGGAGGTCGCGTGTGCAAGTTGCGCACGTTAAAGATCCCTTGGTGGTCCAAAATCGAGAAGAGTAGACTTCGGCCGCCACCTGGGCAAAATTCAAAATTTCCTACCAACTGAAAATGTTTGGTGTGTCCCGTGCGCTCATATGACCTTATGCAGTTGCTAGCGCCAAAAAACACTTACCCAAAATTTTTTTAAACACCAAAAACAACCCAGAGAGGACCACTCACCCACACAGAGTTTCCCTCTGAGAACAGCAACTGTGGCAGGCACGGCCCCGGCATCTCGTACACACGTCTCGACACCAACTGCGGTACTGTACACACAAGACACAAAACAGCATTAGCGAGGATCATCGTTTTCATAAGAGTTTTACGGCACTTGCAACACGATAAGGTCATATAAGTGCCGAAGATTAGAGGTGTTACAAGGGAGTAACAAAATCAAAAAAGAAAGAGGAGAGATAAGGACGATAGATGTTTGACAGGAAAGAAGGAGCAAACCACACCAGAGCACCCTCCAACCACCCACTGCGAAGATCAGAAGATGTCATGGGGGGAAAAAAGAAGAAGCACAATGAAGGTAAAAGGTATCAGTAGCCGGTTCCAGAGTTCATTGCATTACAACAAACCTACAATTGAACCTGTTCAAGACAACTAACCATTGCCGTGTGTGATTGTCTGGAACAGGAAGTCATTGGAGCAAGTTTAAATGTATGTTGCCATGTCACTGGCATATTAAATTAATGTGATGTACATCAGTATCATAGCTGATGCATCAAAAGCAGGCAGCTATCATAATTATTACACACCTTTTATTTTAAGATAATTTCAATTTCAACATTAATTTTTCTATATACGTAAAAAGGTGGTACCGAAGAAATGCTTGAACCTGTACTTATGGATTTTATAATTAGTAAGTAGTTTTAACATTTTAAAATGATAACTGATATAAACATTTATTTCAAGATAGAGTCCCCAAGAGAGGGAGGGGGGCATAGAACCACCTGAGAACATGATCTGGAAGCAGATCTCAGATAGATGGGGCAACTGGCTTGAGGCACAGATAATTGCCCAGAACAAGAGATTGTAGATAGACAATCTGATCAGGTCATCAAGACTGTCCAATTAAAGCTCATTGTTATTGTACCATCTAACCCTACGGGAAATTTTTTTAAATCAGAAGTTTCCTGTTCAATGAGACAGAGCGCACTCACCTGTAATTGTGCGGGTGCGGCATGCCATGGGTTATGATCGTGCTCTCGAGGGCTACAACTGGTCTTCGAGAAGCCACTGCTTCTGATACTTCCTCTGAAACCCGTAAAAAATCTGGCAAGGAAAAAAATGGGATTGCATTAACCATTAATCACTATCACAATTTTCCATACCCCGAATACATTATTTTTTAACCCGTGAAAACATGAGGCAAAGCTCTTCAAATTTGCTGCAGGGCTACGTAAAGTGCAGGAAGCACAGTTCACCATTTGAGTAATTTCATTATTTATTAGAGTAAAGAGTAGCACATCGACATAATATAGTGGTAAATATGACACACCAGTGGCAATCTTTACCCATAAACAGCATTTGTTCACCAAATTTATATGAGATAATACAATATCCTTTGGTAATCCTCAATTGAAAGAAATTGTTCATCCTCGCATCAGTTTCTGCTGCATAGAATATAAAAACCTAAAAGCATTCATAACATCATCCACACATTTCCATCCTCTCAACATACCCACAACACCCACTCTGCCTCTGCCTCCCTCCCTCCCTCCCCTCCCCTCCTCTCTCTCTCTCTCTCTCTCCCTCTCCCTCTCCCTCTCCCTCTCCCTCTCCCTCTCTCTCTCTCTCTCTCTCTCTCTCTCTCTCTCTCACTCAATGCTATTTGAGAAACTTATTCTTCTTGGACCAACAGCTAACAGTACAGCTATTCTCAATGCTCACAGTTTAAAACTTTTTTCAAGATACCCTTGGTGGTTCTATAACAATTTTATTTAAAAGGACAGTAACCCTAATAAGTTGTCCTATTTTCTTACAAAAAAGAGAGCAAATCTGAGAAATTTCTAGTCTTGCGTCAGTCCCTTATTGTAGAGAGACTATGAAATATCCAGCGAAAAGTGACTGTAGCCAACTCACCTGGCATGGCACTTCCGCAGGTCATGGAAGATTGATGTCTAAGGGCCACTGGCAAAACAGTCTCACGCACCCTCCCCCGTGCCACTGGGGTCAAGGCTGACCATGCCAGAAGAGCTCGGGGCAGCCCACATTTTGCTGTCCACTGCAGCATCTTGTTGGGTTTAAGAACCTGAAATGGAAAGGAATAAGGACGCTCACCACCATTCATTTTACACACATATGTGTACCAACACTCATACAAACAAATTCAAACACACCTGAAGCTGAAAACAGATTCCTCGATGAGATGAGATCTCAGTCTCAATCCTTTTTCCAGTTTTTCTTAAAATACATTTTGCTAGGATTTGAAACTCAACTCAAAATTGACCAAACGGCACCTGTGCATTGTGCTAACTGTGGTCTTTTCACTGCTTTAGGGGTTAAACTGCATGCAGTATTTTTTGCTACAGATCACAAATACACTAAAGCCGCTAAAACTGTCACAAATCAGATAGTGATTTTCAAGAAAATTTCAAACTTAACTGCAAAATATCAAATTATAGGTTAAAACAGGGGGGGCATGCCATTGATTCTTTTTTTTTCAACACTAAAACTATTAGTTTGTGACGGAAATAAAATTGATTTTCGTGTTCAGCACATATAGTAGAACTGGACAACTGGTAGCTAAGTGTGAGACGGGAGGGAAAGTAAAAGAGAATGCAAGTGGCTATTCTCCTGCGTTGCACCGGTAAATAGATCGATGGCTATTCTTCGGCGTCAACTCTATAACTTTTCACATAGATCTTCACTTCTCCACAGCTTTCATCTCCTCTGTCAGCACGTTATGGCCTTTCACAAACACTCATCAGGGTCGGCATTTTTTCAGAATGCGATTCACCATATGTGGACATGCAGCCTCTACTCAATGAAAGCTCCAGTGACGGAAGAAAGAGGAAATTCTGTGTCAGAGGTGACAGCACCAGAGTGCCAACAACCCTCAGTCACAACCAGAAGTACAAGAAGACGCATCTGGCACTGAACTCAGTTGCAACAATAATGGCCATAACATGCCAAAAGGGGAGATGGAAAGCTGTGGAGAAGCGACATGTGTAACTATAATGTGACACTATAGAAAAGCCATCGGTCTTCCATTGACTGGCGCGACACCGGAGAATGGGGACTTGCAAAGACAAAATACCATTAGATCTAGTAGTTGCGTGCAAATATATATGAGCCAAATTAACACAAATTTCCACTAACAACATAATGCATAATGAATGAACAATGAACCTTGTAATTGGTCCTATCGCTAGGCTGACACTGCTAGAGGCTGGAACTTGATACTTGATTGAGTTGAATTTGAATTGCTCTTATTTTTAGTGTTATGGCCCGGTTACGCATAATGATAAATTGTACAAAAATTGGACGATCTAGCGATCATACGATAAATCATTAGACAGATGTAACCACAAAATTGTACAAAATTTGGACAAGTGGACGATGGTTTGAAGACTCAAGTCGAGAAATCAAGGGCTTCCTGATATTTTTCATGCGATCACGTTCAGATTTGGGGGAAGACGCCCTGTGAAGTTGTATCACTTTGAAATTTGCCGCCGGGCAGGGTTAAACTTGGGGCGCAAAATTTTAAAAATAATTATCGCATCTTAAAACAGATTTCATAATTCGGAATCAGCATCTCAAAATAAACAAAGTAGCTCGAATGGAACTTGATTTGAGGCGGAATTATGTAAATTTTAGTAATTTTATTATTTAATTGATCGTCAGTGGTGAAGTGCATCAAGGTCACTCGGTGCGTTGCACGTCTGCAGTCAAGTCAAAGCTTCTCTTTCTACCTGGGCCAACCTTTTCTAAAGACACTGTTCTGCTCTATATCAAAATGTGCTGGGGAGGGGGTGGGGCTCTCGAGATCTAAAGGTACAGTGTTCGCCTTTCATTCACTAGGTCCCGAGCTCGAAATCTTCACATTGACTTTGAGTGCTGGCAAATCGCTATTGTCGCAAAGAGACATCTTTATGACGAGGAATCTCCTCGATCGAAAGAAAACTGGATGATAGAATGATAGATCTAGATTGAAAGGTGTAAACAGACAACACAGTTCGATAAAACGGACAGTTCTCGGATGTATATATACGACGAATCTGATACATTTTATCGTTCAGTGTAACCGGGATCGGAGTCTCTTCTGGAATAAGTTTTATTAATTAAATCGGCTACATAAATATAGTCTAGATCTAATATTGCGACTGTCAATATCTCTCTCTTTTTTTTTTTACTTAGACTTAGAGGGTTTACGGAGCTCGCAACTGAAGGTCATATGAGCGCCAAGGGGTGGGTGTCAACAGAGAAGTCTTTACAGGGAATCAGACTTAGACTGCTCACCTCTCTAGCTTCAACAAGGTCTGCTTCGACTATCAAGGCACCCCAAAATAGCAGGTCACAAGAGAGTGACAAACATAAAAGAAATAGAGGAAAATGACAATAGTAAGAATCAGGAAAGAAAAAGCAGCAGTTCCCTGTTGTAGATCAGGCACAGTTATGAGCGTGACATGAGTCAGCCCATTTACACATCGGCGATTTTGTAGTTTCGTTCATTAAAATTAAAGTCAAGAGTAGGGGGGTTCTGACCGAATAAAAATATTTTATCCTAATTTGATGTTTTGCAGTTAGGTTGCATCCCTACTCTTTGTGTAGCCTATTTCAAATAGATCTAGATCTAGATCTAGAATCTAGATCTAGAATCTAAATCTAGAATCTAGAGTAGAATCTATATATATCTAGATCTAGATCTATATTATTCTAGTATATTTGGTAATCAAGACTTCTGGATTTCTTCTCTGAATGTGAACAAATGGATCGTGGACTTTAACGAACGGAACTACAAGATCACCTACAATTCTACTATGCTTGAACGAGAAATGCCCCCCCCCCCCCCTTTTGAGAATGGCCTAAAGACACTTCAGTCAGTGGCACTGCCCCGCCGGGGGGAAATCTCTCTCTACTCTAGACTCTAGATTTAGATCGAGATTCTAGATCTACTAATGGCAAACACAACAACTTCAAATACCGTTTTCAGCTTGTCTTGCTTGGTAGTTTGTTAGAAAAACATCGACATAACATAAGCCTATGGGAACAATGATGATGATGATGAGGAACAAAGGATGCAATCTGAAGAAAGCGTGTCAATACGGGTCGCAGATCAGTCAGTGCTAGCAGCAGCAGCTGGGCCAGCAGTAAGCAGTGCGTGCCTCTAATAAGCTCGTTTCGTTAAACGTCGACATCCAAATTTCCATTCCACTTTTTAGTGTCAGGTCTCGTTCCTTGAGCGATTTTCTCGCCTTCAACTTCCTTTTCCCTCGAAGACCACGAGTGGTAAGACACGTTTTTCCACTCAGACAGAAAATTCCACTTGAAATTGGCCTTGTTAGCTAATTTTAAAACATAATTGCTTGTAATTTTGCGCCCATCAAATCAATTTATTCTGTACAATTATTAATTGTATACTCTCACCGTGTCTTTTTTCAGTGCGGTTTGTTAAACCAGTCTTCAGTCGTCCTGACGAAACAGCACAGCAAAAATGGTTGCCCAGAAGAAAGCGGTAAGAAATGCACCATTTCAGACAGTTAACCTTGGTAGAAAATGAGATTTGGGTTTCCTAACTGTATGAATGGTAAAGCCTAAGTGCCAATAACTTTTACAGTTGACTTTTACAGTTGCACTGCTTTTCAGTCTTATGTCCAAAAGTGCTGGAATGACTCAACAGTAGTAGGCTAAGTAGGCACCTGCTGCAGCGGGGCGGGGCAGTAGATCTAGATCTACCAGAATCCCCCCCCATTATATTCTGTGCATCAAACATAGTCACACACAGCTAAAAGTAGGCTAATGGGTGTCGAGTAATTAGTTGAGTCAAAAGTCATTACGGCCAGCACAAGATTATCCCTTAACGTTGGGGTGTGCCCCACTGAGTGAAACACCCTGGATTGGTCCAGTGCACACTACTACGCGATTATTAGCCTAGACATAGTGAGGCATTGTAATAGACTGTTGACCCTGTAACATGGGTCTCAATATTCCGCTATTTAGTGGATTTCCGCTGCCGGCATTTCCTCCGCTAACGTGACAGCGGGCCAATCAGAAATAGAGTAGCTGGGAGCAGAGTGACTGCCAGACCTCGGGAATTGCCAGGGAATTTGAAAAAAATCGCATAGACGCGGGAAAGTACATAAAAGATCTCGAATATTAATTGAAAACCAAATCCGATGTCTTTAAGTTCATTTTTGCCGGTCGCTATTGTGATATTAATAAGGCTTTTCCCGGTCTGAGAGTACGTTTCACGCGAACTGGCGGCAAGCGGAATTGTATGTGACACGGGTTCGCCTCGGGAAGATTGAAGAATACCGGACCACTCGTACATTATTGCGTGAGAAAGTGGGGAGGGGGGTCTCCCCCCTGACAAAATTTTAAGGAATAGATCTACCGGTCCGAGATTCTCCATTGAGAGATATTAAAAGGCCACCTCTATTCTCACCCGGTGTGAGAATAGTGCAGGCGAGTCTTGTGGCTATTCTCACCCGGTGCGCGTTCACCCTAAACCACAGAATTCTACACTGTGATAACAGAAAAATTGTAGAATTCTGTGCCGTGAACAAACGTTCCATTACAATTGTAGCCTACTAAAAGCGTACAGTTTTGTCTGTGGGCAGTGGAGAGAGAGAGGAGTAGCGCGAGAATTTCCGGGCAAAACAAATTTATTTACTTTTGTGTTTTAACATCATTTTTTAACTTTGTTTTGGTCAAAAGTCTGATAACGCAACATTTGTAGTATGCAGGTTCTGCATTACAGCCGTGGTGTCGCCTTGAAAATAATGTTTGTCACTGCTGTCGCTTGTGGGGGCAAAAAAAAAAGAAAAGAAAGTTATGCAAGCGCCTTGTCGGGCTCATCATTGTGACCGGTCAATGAACCTGAGCGCTGTGAAGTGCAGGACTCCGGAATGAGGGGAGATGTTGATTTTTTTTTAAAGATACACTGGGGGGTGGGGAGGGGCTGGACCAACACCAGAGGACAAAAAAAGAAAAGAAATTGGAAGCAAATTTTAATGTTTAAAATTTTGATTACTACTAGATATCTAGATCTACAGCTCTCTGCAAAGTAAAGTGAGCGTTGGTGCATGCCTTGTGTGTAATCGAGATCCGTCGTAACTACTCGTAAGCGTGTTAATGAACTTAGGGCAGGGGCCTAAGTGTTCGCGTTTCATTGGATGGGTGACAGTAAATTATGTCTCTCTATGTTTTAGCTTTTTGTTCAAGATTTGCAGATTTTCAGTGTCACTGCATCTTGCCCTCCCCCAGTTCTTACACCTCTCACACTGAATAGGTTTACTTGAGCTATACAAGTTATTACTCTACTTTGAGTTTGAGCATTAATTTTCTCTTTCACGTTTATTATATATGAATCATTAGACCCATACTTGTTCAAGTTCATGACAGTCGATATTCTGGTTCTAGGCCTTTTCTCGGGCTCAAAACAAGATTCATTTTTATGTTTATATAGATCTAGATATCTAGATCTGTATGGTAAGGTAAAATATGTCGCACAAGACCACAGTGCGCCACCACTTTCTATACCTAATCAAGATTGTAAATATTTGGTAAGTGACTCACTTGAAATTATCTTCCAAACCCTCAAACTGGTATGAAATAACCTTGCTTTGATAAATCGATGGTTTCTATTTCAACATTCTAGGGTCCAACGGTATAATAATAGTGGGTGTCTCGCCAAAATGGGTTTCTGTCCCGATCAAGTGGAAAGTTCCTCCTTTTTATAAATTCTGAGTTGAGACCCATGCTGTAGTGTAAGAGAAGTGGCCGTCTTGGGCGGGACTGATCTAGATCTAAGTGAAAAAAACAGCTTTTTTTATGCAATCCCAAGAGTGGAACAGTGGTGTCCTTTTCCGATCACCAGTATTCAGTATGTCAGTATAGATTTGATCCTCAACATGACCTTAAAAACCTGTGTGTAGTACATTTTACGTATCAGCTTACAATACAAGGAGGCCTGGTGTGTTGCTGGTGGTGGTTACATTGAGCACAGCACTTGTAGAACATGAAATAAAAATTTGAAGGTGCCGTATGTATAATACATGTGTCGAATCTGGTTTTCTATTGGGGTTTTTTTTTTTTTTTTAAATTTGCGTATTCTTTTTTAATCCCCCTGTACTGTAGATAAAAGTCCCCCAAATTTTTGCAACAAAACATTCCTAAGACTCTTGTTTGTCAATGAACTTTTTATTTTTAGATTTAAAAGCCATCAGATAAAATTTGATTTTCTCATTGTCATTGCTTCACCAGTGACACTGTCACTGATATGGTTAACCACCATTATGTCTAGACAATGTGAGAATGTCGCCTAAAAGAAGCCAACATTTTTCAGAGCTTCATCAATTTATTTGTTTACTTTTTTACTTTTTTTTTTTTTTTTTGCTTGTCAACAGAAAAAGACCGCGGACAACATCAATGCCCGTCTGGCTTTGGCAGTGAAGTCCGGTAAATATGTGCTGGGCTACAGACAAACTTTGAAGACCCTGAGGGCAGGCACTGCCAAGCTGGTGATCATTGCCAACAACACTCCCCCACTCAGGTACCATTGCTTGTTTGTTGGTTGTTTGTTTTTGTTTTTTTTTTGGGGGGGGGTATGACAAGGCTAACAGACAATTTCCTTTGAGTTTATGCCAGGTGTTCCTTGGTTGATGTGCTTATTTTTCAGTGGGGCGTTTTGAGATTTGTTCTTGTGGGGGTAGATGTGGTTTTCCCAACCAAGGTAAATGTTTGAGGTCGGAAATCCCTTTCAAAGGATATTTAATGCATATGGTGAGTTCAGGATAGACATTCGTTTCTTTAAAATTCCGAATTGATAGTATTCTTCTTTCTTTTCTTTTTTCCATCCTGATTTAATCCCTGCCGAACTAAATTATCGTTGCCTTGTAAGAGAAATGGGACTTTCTATCTTATGGTCTAAATGTTATGCTGCAGGATAAATTCTGGGTATAAGATTCTAACATGTTTGTTGAGCATTTCATGTGATTTAAAACTTCGGAGCCGCATTATTTTTTTGCGGTAAAGATGAAGTTTTCCATATTCTCATGTTTTTTGCTCTCTTTTTGAAGCTGATGAGCAAGCAGTATGGTAAGAAGCCAAAGGGTACACATTCTTTTGCTGTCTATGGTCCTGATAATCACAAGTTATGGTCTTCAAGATGTCTGCGTTGATAATGTTAGTGCTTTACTCCTGGTTGAGTAGCTGTTGTATTTTTGTGTGAACTTGTTAACACGTGTCCAAACATGACTCAACACTTTTTCTTTTCAGTTACTTTGTGGGTCATGTTTTTTTAGATAAATTATATTGTTATCCCTGTGCTGAGACTGCGGTGGTTTTCTTTTCTAAAGATAATGTCCATGCTCTTGGGGTGGTTTTTATTGTTTTATTATTCTTAGCCTCTTATTTTTTGGTTTGGGCACTTCTTTTCCATGTATTTTCTCCTTGAGGAGGAACTGTTTTCGTTTAGGTATTCTGATTCATTTTCAGTATATGTCTAGAAGACTGTTGATGGTTGGCGGGTGCTGTGGTGTGCCCTTTTTCTGTCAAACATCTATCCTCCTTACCTCTCCTTCCCCTTTTGGATGTTACTCTATAGTAACACGTAATCTTCTGTACTTCATGTGACTTGTGTTTCAAGAGCAATAGAAACTTACAGTGGTCTCTCTCTCTCTTTCTCTCTGTGCAAGCGGTTGGCGTGTGCCCGGGTGTGGTTAGCTCCTTCTTTCCTGTCACTGTCACACACACCAATCGTCTTGATCTCTCCTTTTTGTTACTCTCTTGTAACACGTCTTATCTTCAGCACTCACATGACCTAATTGTGGTGCTAGTGCCATAAAACTTTTTTTTAAGTTTCTCTTATTTATTATTAGACAACTGACGTTAAACCTGTGTGTTGCAGGAAATCCGAGATTGAGTACTACGCTATGTTGGCCAAGACTGGAGTTCACCACTATGCTGGCAACAACATTGAGCTCGGCACTGCCTGTGGAAAATACTTTCGCTGCTGCACCCTGTCCATCACCAACCCTGGTATGTGTACAAGACTAGAGTGTTACGCCCTACTTTTGCTTCTTATTGTGTAAATTGGAGGGGGTCGGGGGGCTTTTGTATTTCATTGTCATAGAGGTATTGTTACCTTGTTTATCCGGGTTTCCATAATTTTTTTGTAAAGCTCTAAGTTTGGAATGTATTCGGAATGTGTGGTATTGAAATTCACACCGTGGTTTTAGTCGGCAATTCCATGGGTGCTGGCACTCTTTGCCAGAGAGCCCTTCCATGCTGCCGTACAGTATAAGCAATGGTACAGTCTTTCTGTGGTGGGAACTCAACCTGCCATGGAAATATTACTCATTGGACATGTCAATTATTCTATTGCAGTTGGCTACTGGTTTTCATTGAACATCAGGCTTATGGTGCTCACCCAGACCTTGTATTTATTACTTATACACCACTTTGTCTGCATGCAGACAACTACACCTTTACAAAGTCATTGAAAATATTATATTTTTTTTTACTTCCTGTAGTTTTATTTTATCAGGTCGTGAACATTGCCTTGTTTTCTGAAGCAAATATCTAGTTCTACCAGATCAATTTAGCTATGGTGGTGCGATTCAGAAAATGAAATTAAACTAAAGCTGTTTTGATCCATTGAATTACCCTTCACGTAAATTTCAATTTAAACCAGGGTTTGTTAAAATTCAAGACTTTTTTTCAGGGGAGGGGATTCTCCAAAAAATTTCGGAATTCTGAATATTTTTTATTTTTTTTATTGCCGACGATTGTACTGTTGCATTGTGGATTTGTACAATTTCTTGCTTTGGGAAAGTGGGTGTGGACAAACTATTGATGCACTGCACTTGAAAGAGTTACACACACACTACCATTTCTCCTCCTACTTGAACATGAGAACATGAACACATGCAGGGAAAAGAATTACTGCTTGACCATCAAACAATAACATTGGTCTGACGTGTAGAGGCATTCATTGTAATTTATGTAATGTAAGTATTTAGATGAATGTTGGCTTCTGTATCATGTTTGTTACCTTGTGAAATATAACCTTATTGTAATTTTTTTATTATTCAAAACTCTCTCTCAGGGACTACGTTTTTTAAGTTAAAAACGTAAATTTCTTCCCGGCTTCAGGGGGGCTGCGCCCTCAATCTATCTTGACATACTTATCTTGTTCTTTTCATGCACTGAATGGGGGATTTGCGTCCATGTGTTTCTCTTTATTTGAACAGCGAGTGATGTTCAACACTTTCTAACATTTGGGGGGGGGGGGTATTATATGAGAGCATTTTGGCTGTACTTAACTTACGGGTTTCTTTGTTTCTTTCTACAGGTGACTCCGACATCATCCGCAGTATGCCCACAGAGCAGCAGCCATCTTCATAACTTTGAAATAAAGTTGATGGTCGTTGATTAAATTAAACATCTGCATTTGTCTCATTTTTGTGATTGGTGTGATGGAAGGAAAATTGTGATTGGTCTGAATGTCTGGTGGGACTTTACCTTTACAAATGGAAGGGCTTCCACACTCGTGGGTTGCATAGAGATCTACCACTACCAATGAATTATTTATAACTTTTATTGCCGATTGGTTCTCCCGTGTAGACTTTCATTTACAAAGTCAAGTTTATATATCGATTTGTCTTGAGACAAGGTGCTGCTGACCTTGGTTCGAACCATAGTAGTAACTGGCTTTTGGCCTTGGTTGGGTTTTCATGGCCCTCATTTATCTTTTTCAGCTGAAGTGTTAAGTTACGCAAGGTCTCACCTCTTGTGTAATAAGATAAGCTACTGCCTTCGGGTTCAGCCACACTGGGTGGTCAGGGGGGAGTTTGATGGAGTGTGCCTGCTTGAAGTGAATGGATCAGAAAATTTATTGTTAATGTTTGGTCCCTGTTGCATTGGTGGGTTGGCTACTCTGATGTGGTTTGCTCCTTCTTTCCTATTATATCTATCGCTATCGGTGAATGGTTGGCGAATGCTTTGGTGTGGTTTGCTCCTTCTTTCCTATCGTACATCTGTCACTATCACTATGTGGTTGACAAATGCTCTGGTGTGGTTTTCTCCTTGCCTATCAAACATTCACCATCCTTTTCTCCATCCTTTTCTCCATCCTTTCCTTTTGTTTGTTTTATTTGTTGTTACTCTTTTAAAGGATGTTACTAGTAGGTCCTACTTCTTTACTTTCTCTCTGTTGGTTTTGTCTGTTACCTTTTGCCGCCACTAAATTGACCGTATTGGGTCGATGTGCTTCTCTGGAGCATACTCAAACTATAAACGCCTTCAACTTTAAATATTCAGCATTTGTTTGACCTTATTGTGTTGCAAGTGCTGTAACAGTAACACTAAAACACTTGCTAAACTGAATACAGTGGAAATTGGAAACCTTATATTACACGCCCGGTAATAACGTATTTTTTTTAATCCCCGTTTTTTCCTACTCTTTGTCTCTATTAAAAGTTATCGGCAATAACAACCTCATCGGACCCCAATCAGTTACAGGAGGGACAAAGGCTCGTTAACAATGTGTAAAATGTGAGAGGGTAATGCAGTGATGGAGCAAGCCCACACAACTGCAAGCACATGTAGTAGCGGGTGAAGTGAGAGAGGGCTGCGGTGTGCTGCAGACTTCAACTTCAATCTAACCTAACCCTAGTCTTGTTGGATCAGTCCACACAAGCTCACTTCCCTTGCATTTCTGATATAACAACTTTTTTCTCTGGTCCCACCATCCCTGTTCTATTGTGTATCAGTATCAGGTTTCCACTGTATTTAGGCACAGCAATACCCCTACTCTGACTCTTTTTGAAAATTGGATTTCCCCATCTCACCATACTTCATACATATTGTACTCAATGAGGCAAGCTGTTGTCTCCGATTGTGTCCTCTGAAATATCTAATTACACTTACTGAACTGCTCTAAAAAGATAGTGTCAGTATGACTCCATTACTACTACTACTATTACTTCACTATTCAGTGGGTGCACATATTGGGCAAGTGAAAGTTTACGGGACCTGGGCCTGCCATTTGGGATTTACTTATGCACATTAGGGATCTCCACTTTCTGTTGGTGGCTGTCATGACAATGTCATAGGCTACATACTCATCATATTTTTTAAAAGGGGGGTTTTTATCTCTAAAATGGAAAGCTCAAGAAGACCTTTTCCCATGTGGCACACCAGTGCCCTGTACTGTTAATAATTTCCTCATCAGGAATACAGTCCACTGCCGTACCTTTGAGTTGTCGGGGTAGTGAAATTTGAAATGTACATTTAAAGATCATCCTACGTTCAAATTAACCCTTTGGGAAAACTACATCGTATGAAGTAGAAGAGGTGCTGGGACCTAAGAGAAAAATCAAGACAAGCGAAGTTGATTTCACTTGTATGAATGTAGCCAATAAATACATGTAATAATCTATGCACTTTGTAACTCTTTACTTTAGTTTAGAAATTGGCAGACACACACATGGTTTGTAAGACTCCAATACATAATACATGTAGTCCAGTGCACTGGATGCAGTTAGAGTTAAACTGAGAGAGGCCTATTTATTACATCTATTCCAGTCAAAGGTTTGTTTTAGTAGAGGTTTTACGGCGCTCGCAACTACCTAAGGTCATGTGAGTGAGCGCCAAGGGATGGAAGTCGACTATCAAGGCACCCTGGAAAAAGCGGGTCACAAAAGAGTGTGACGAACATACAAAAAGTGGGTGGTTGGTGGGTGCTCCGGTGTGGCTTGCTTTTTCTTTCCTATCAAATATCTGTCGTCCTTATCTCCCCTCCTTCTTTTTTATGTTTGTTACTCTCTTGTAACACCTCTAATCTTCTGGCGCTCGTATGACCTTATGCAGTTGCGAGCGCCGTAAAACCTCTACTAAAACAAAACATACAAAAGAAGTAGAGCAAAATGATAATGGTAAGGATTAGGGGGGGGGAAAGCAGCAGTTCCCTGTTGTAGTTCAGACACAGTTATTATGATATGAGCATGACATTGTCGGATCAGCCCATTTACAGTGGGTCAGACCAGACCATCAATGATTTATTTATAGAGGCACCAGCCATCCATGTCCAGGTGCTGTTTTAGCCTCAAATTTACAGTGGGTGTCGCATTCAACGAGGTTGCCGGGACGGCTTGTTATCCTCGTTAGATACGACCTCTCTTTGAATGTGACGAATGCTAAAGAAAGGAAAGGAGACAAGCAGGCGCGGTTCGTCCATAGAGCACGGTCGTGCAGTGCCCCCAACATTTTTTAATGTTCTGTTACGTAAAACACCCACAGTAATAAAATAAAAGAATCCAGAAACAAACACTAGCCTAATATACATCTATTATATCAAAACAAGGTCCTCACAGGCGCCATAACTGTCATTTCTGTGTCTATAGCGCCGTAAAACATCTACTATACCATGCCAAAGTCCACGCTCTTTAGCTAAACATAATAGGATATTCAACAGTGTAACCTGACCTATAAATCGCTCTTGGGGATAATCCAACCGATGACGACACTCGTAGCGAGTTTGGCGGTACATTAATAATAAGACGGCACATTTCAAATGTGCTCCTGCCGAATAGTGCCGAAACATAGCCCGCAGTAGGCAGTCTAAAAATAAACGCCATAGACCGGGCACTATTCTTTGCCAAAATTATATGAGCCCCGGAGCAATCCAGGGGAGTGCTCAAGTGAATTGTGATTGGTTCATTGTCTGTCTTGCCACTATTTTAAAGTGACTCTGTGACCGTGAACCTGAGGGAGGTGAACGACAAACATGACGGTCCTATGAGTTGTGCCTTTGAATGGTTTTGTAGTGGAGTAGTGAACGTTATTACTTGAGTGTTCAGTTCCTATACAGTATGAACGAAATTGATGTTTAGCCAACAAACTAAATTAGTACTAGATTTAGAAATGAAAGCACGAGGTCCTCCCTCACCAACCCAAAGATCCTAAAATTATACATGTACATCGTTTCATTTACTCTGCCCTTGACTATCTTCAGAATGTGATACATGTACTATGTAGCTTAATTGTGCACGTCCACTTTTTAGCCCCACGAGCCGCCCCTGATGCACAGTATTTTCGTGAACCAGTGAACTCGTCACACTACGGTAAAGTTGTCGCAGCTGAAAAATACGTGTGTCGAGTTCACCGAAAAAAAAGTACCCAAAAAAAACGGTGAACTCGTCTCACCACCTCCACCACACCAGCCATCTTGTACCATTTTAGATTTGTTTTATTGCATACAGTAAGGACTTGCAAATTTTAACAGGTTTTATATATTGCGCCCCAAAATGTGTCCGTTTTCTCTTTAAAGTGTTGAAACAAAAAGGTTGACATGTGTAGATTCTGACTGAGGAAACTTTGGTTTCTTATTTGTAAAATATCATTAATTAACGGTTAGATCTAACATGTGTGGGTTTGCCTGCCAATCCACAGTGAACTCGCCACACGTTTTTATTTTTCACAAGTTGGAGTATGTGATGAGACAATTGGAGTATGTGATGAGATAACTGTGACGAGATCACTGGAGGTATGTGACGACTCCACGTGTGACCAGTCTATACTGGAAGCCGTAATTTTCACATGAAATGTTGTGTGTAGCCATGTCCCGAATTGGAGATAAAGATGCTGTTTACATCCTTATTGCACCCAATAGTCAAACCAGGAATGCTGTACATAATATATCCAAGGATTTTGGACGATATAGGCCCTACGTCAGTCTTACTCTTACGTGAGTATCACTTTTGAAAATTCTGGGTTTTTTTTCAGGTAGATCTAGATCTATATCTAGAATCTAGATCTAGCCTATAGAATCTGTCCCTGTCGTTTTATTCAAGAAAAATTCTGAAATCATGCAAACTGATCCCAAAAATGTGAAATTATGCGATTCTGTTAATTTTAACAAAGTGTGATAAAGGAAAATAATCGAAAATTATGCAAAAAATGATCAAATTTTGCTAAATTACGCGGGGTGCATAATACTACGGGGACTGTAGAATAGAACCATCCTGTTTTAATCAAATAACTGTCTAAATTACTGCAGTATTGACATTTTTATTTACCTCGCAACATTAATTTTTGTCTAGAAAACGTTATTTTCCCGTTTATAGAACTGCTACGCAGGCTAGTTTTATATAAAATAGGGGCCTACTAATCTAGATCTAGATCTAGATTTAGATCTATATCTAGATATATATATCTATCATGCGAAAATTGGGATTGTTTCCAGCACTTCTCGCTTCTCACACACATCTTGCATAGGCCTACGTGTAGGCTATTAGATCTAGATATCTACACAGCTCACCAATGACACTTTTAGTGGCAACATTTGTACATGAAATTAATTTTAAATTGGGCGCCTTAATTTTGAACTAAAGGTTCTCCATGGTTCAATCGATTAGATTCTAGAAAAAAAGTGGCGGACTT